CAGCAGTGGCTGCTGGACCGATTCTTGGCAGTAGGGAGGTTCCAGAAGGGAGCTTGCTCCCCCTCCATGGAGCAGCTGACAGGTGACCCCATCAGTTGCTCTGACCTCACCAGGACCAAGTACCTGGGCATCTGCCGGAAAGTTGAATGTGCGCCAGCTCCACCCTCCCCCCACCCCCGTCGTGGGCAAGCAGCCGTCTGTCCCTGGATTGGTGTTTCCTCTTCCTTCTGCCTACGCTTGGTTCGTTACTCAGGGATGGGATGAGCTTGGACGGTGTGTACTGACCAAGGCTATATATTTTATGTCTTAAAATTTTTTCTGGGGCCGGGAAGATGGCTCAGCAGAAAAAGCGCTTCCCTGGCAAGCGCAAGGGCCTGAGTTCAATCCCCGGTTTCACACACACACACACACACACACACAAATTCAGATTACTAAAGCAACTTGTACACACAGCGTTTCCTAATGGAGTGCTGCAGGACCAGGCTCTGTGTGTGTGTGTGTGTGTGTGTGTGTGTGTGAGTGTGTGAGTGCATGTGTGCAGGCTCACACAGCCCTGCTTCACCTTGCCAGGAGGTGATGAGTTGGAAAGTGTGGGACATCTCTTCAGGGGAGAGATGTTTCCATTTTAGAAACAGATGGTTTGGGTCTGTGGCTGACCTGAATGACGTGATAACCATTTGACCTTCACCCGACCTTGTCTCCCGACTCAGCCCTCCAGCTGTTGAGACCTGCCAGCTGGCCATGCTCTTTTGGGTCCCTGACCGGAAATCTGTCGTGTACAGTGCCAGCCCTGAAATGGGGACTCCCGGGTATGGTCACACGCACCATTGTTATTTAGGTTCCATTCAGCCATCCGTTTCATTCAGTTTCTTATTGTCCGTTGTGAAGCAAACCAGCTCTTCTAAAGCACGCTTCCGAAACACCTCCTGTGTGCATAAGACTTCTGAGCACCAGGGGAATCAGCAGCATGGCTGTTGCAGCAGATTGCAGGCTCCCTACACGCAGGGCACAGGGAGACATTCATTCTCCGTCAGTCTCTTAAATGTGTCTACTTCCGGGTGGGACCAGGGCTGGCCCAGCACCTGGTGTGCAGGTGGCACTTTGTAAAGACCTAGCAAAATGAATATAGGGCAGTCAGCGTTCGGCGGCCAGCGAAAGTGTGAGCACGCCAGGCGTAAGGTGGGCATTGTGTTTCTCAGGGTTAAAAGCAGCAGTCTGAGCCCTGGCTGCCTACATCTTGAGCAAACGATGGCCCAGAAAAGGGCGTGCCTTCCTGGGCTTCAGTTTCTCAGTTGGAAAAAGGGTATTCGTTTATTTTTTATGGTGCTGGGGCCTCAAGAACCCAGGGCCTCGTGTGTGCGGGGCAAGTGCTCCCGACGGAGCCCTGCCCCAGCGTGGGGCTGATTTCCTGAGGGCCTGCTGTGGGCCACGTGTGCGTTCCTGCTGCGGTCATGGCCTCACCTGCCTCGTCAGACAAGATGATGACGGAACAGGACGAAGGGCTTTGGAAAATGTGCTCCACTGCCCGCTGCTGGCGAGGGGACCCCAGGGGCTTCAGTGTCCTGAGTGGAGGCCTCCCTAAGACCAGCTGTCACTGCACCTCTGCCCCTTGTCTCTCTGTCTTTGTCTATATCTGTCTGTGTGTTTGTGTATGTCTTTCTAGCTTTCTGTCTGTCTGTCTCTCTCTCTCTGTCTCTCTCTTTGTCTTTGTCTGGCTGTCTGTCTTTATGTCTGTCTATCTGTCTGTCTTATCTGTCTCTGTCTCTCTTTGTCTCTGTCTGTCTGTCTCTCTCTCTCTCTCTCTCTCTCTCTCTCTCTCTCTCTCTCTCTCTCTTTCTCTGTTCCTGATGAGTCAGTCAAACTTTACTTTAGCTGGAATCCACAGCTTCCCGGCTTCTCCTCACGTGCCCTGTGTCTGGGCCAGGGTTTGCTTGAGGCCCTGTCTGGATATTGTTAAAAGTGGGCAGCTTGGCTCAGAAAGGTCAGCAGGAGAGACAAGAACAAAGAGATCTTTCAAGCTGGCCGCTTGCCGGGCAGCCAGCCTGCCAGCCCAGGTGGCCATCTGGGTATGTAAGGAGCCCACCTGGGCTCTCAGAGGGGTAAACTGAGGCAGGGGTTATTCACAACAGTGCAGAAGAGCGTGAAAGTCACCTTAGCCTCCTCTGTGCAGCCCTGGCTGCAGGAACCGAGTGGGCTTTCCCTTGGGGACATTCAATAAAGATCGGGATTTACTTGCAGCATGTCCAAGGGTGATGATTTGTTTTGCTAAATAATTCCAGGGGGTGGGGCGGGGAGATGGCTCAGTGGAATAAGCATTTGCAAGTGCAAGGACCTGAGTTCAATCCCCGGTTCCGCAAAATAAATAAATAAATAAATAAATATAATAATAATAATTCCAGGGAGTTTATTTAGATGACAGAAATTCCTCCGAGGTATAGCTGGGGCCCAGAACCAGCATTCCTTCCAGAGCCAGGAGAGGCCCGGCCGCCGGTCCAGGAGATGCTGACACGCAGTCCAGAGGATGACCCTGCGGTGTGGGAGGAGAGGCTGCGGTCACTGCTGGCTCCAGCATCCTGGCAGCCTTGGCCTGGCTACTGGGGCGGGGGCTGGCAGGTGGCCTGGAGAGTGGAAAATCACCCCAGGTCCTGCAAGCCGCCTGCCTCCTCTTGCTTTCCTGGTGCTTGGGGTCTGCGTTTCTGTGAACTCTGTCCTGGAGATGCTCTGGTTGACAGGGCCTGGCCTGTGGCCGCCTGTAGCCGGGGCTTCAGTGGGACTGAGTGGCTCTCTGGGGGCCCACGCCTGTCCTGGCTCTGCCAGGCACTCCTGTTCTTAGGTTTCCTGTAGGCTGAGTCTGGCAGGGACAGACAGACATGAAGCAGGACCTGGCTGAACTTCCTGCAAAATAATGCCAGTTAACTCATCAGGAATGTGACCCTTAGGATGCAGGCTAGAAGCGGAAGGGGAGTAACACCGGGTGAGCCTCTGCCACAGGCCTGCATGGCTGGGATCTCCCCACCACCTTCCTGACAGCTGTGAGGGGCTGAGGGGGCTTCCGACGGCAGGAGCCTGGCACTTAGACACCCGTGCTCCAGGAGACAGAGGTAGGGCCTGACCCCGGGGCTGGGGTCCCTTGTGAAACCCAGCTTCTCAGATGGGGGCTAAAGGGTACAGCCAATCCCCCGAGTCAGTCAGTGGTTCGTAAACTCAGTGCCTGTTGGAATCCCTGGCCACTCAGTAAGACCCAGCTTGCTGGGCTCAACCTGAATGTCTGACCCAGTGGGTCTAGAGTGCATTTCCAACAAGTCTCCTTCCACAAATTCCTGGAATTCTGATGCTGCTAGTCTAAGGACTGTAATTTAAGGACCTGTAGTCTGAGCCATTTTCCTAGAGTGTGAGTGTGTCCCTCTAGTGATCCCCGTGCTAACTTGTTTTCTTGGTGGTGCCATTGGGGTGGGACGGAGGGCAGTGTGCGCACTGGGCAACAGCCCTACCGCTGGATCCGCACTCCCTTGGTCTTTATCTTGAGACAAGTTCTTGCTGGGCTCCCCAGGCTGGCCTCAAACTAGGTATTCTCCTGCCTCAGCCTCAGTAACTGGGATGGATTACAAGTCTCTGCCGCCATGCTCAGCCACAGACTTTTAAAAAAATACTCTTACTTAATATCTGCTGGTAGAAAAATAACCAGCATAGCAAACCTGTGATTTCCAGTGAGAAACCTACTGAGGCAGAAAGAAGGTATAAATAAAAGAATCACATAATAATACTAGTAGTAGTAGTACCAATAATAATAATAATAACAACAACAACAACAATAATAATAATACAGTAGAATAAGCGCTTGCCTGACAAGGGCCTGAGTTCAATCCCCAGTTCCGCCAAAAGACAAAGAAAAAAAATAATACTGGGTCCGTCTGTCCCGCACCACTAGTGGAAAAGCTGAACAGTGAATGCAGCAGAAGCCGGGAGACCTGAGCTAGATGGAGCCCTCATTGCAGAGGAGAGAATAGGCGCCCCTGCTTCCCTGGGCCACAGGCCCGTTAGCGGTGGGCCTGCGCCATCACTGGAGCCGCGGGCTGCCTGTCCTGCAGGCTCTTTGGAGCACTGGGCTGGCTTGGGGAAGTCGTGACCTGGCCTAGCCCAGGGATGTGGCCTCCATTCACAGCCCTGGAAATGGGTCTGCTTTGGGTATACCGTCGCTCGCACGTGCTTAGCCCTCTTGTCTGAGCCGGGGCGCCACCGCAGGCCCAGGACCTGCTCTGTGAGCTTGTCCTTTCGTGGCTCCTGGCCCTGGAGCTTGATGAGCCTGGGTGCATGGGGGAGGGGGGGTGAAGGTCAGAGCTGTCCCGGAACGTGACCTCCGTTTTAAGTGCAAGGCAAGTGTGTGGAAAGAACAGGGGGCTCAGTGGGAGGTGTGTTTCTCCCTGTGGGTAACGAAGTACCCCAGAAATCGTCAAGGCCCGGAGGGTGATGGGAAGGAACAACCCCGGGTGGCCTTCTCACTGGGCCAGTCTTGGAGGCGGACCGGCAGTGAGGATGGACTCCAGTGTGGGCTCATGCAGCACGACGTACGGAACTGACGCTGACTCCACCCGGGAAGCCCAGCCCAGCCCGAGACTCTTGGGCCAAGGTGGCACCTGTTTGAAGGGTCAGCCTTGGTGTCCTTGTGCGGGTGATCTGGAAGCCTGCTGCTGGGGGCCTTAGAGAGGCGGAGCGCCCTCCTTTCTGCTTGTTGGTGTTGGGGCTGTGGGGTTACCCCTTGGCCTTCTGTCCTAATGATTTTTTTTTTTTTTTTTGGTGGAACCGGGGATTAAACTCAGGCCCTTGCACTTGCCAGGGAAGCACTTATACTACTGAGCCATCTCCCTGGCCCCACCATCCTAATGATTGAAGTACACAAAGAAAACTCTAGGACACAGGTTTCCCCGTGGCTGTGCCTGCCCAAGGGTGTCTTTGTGGGACTTGGGCCGATAATGACCCCACTTGTGCTGCCCTCCCTCCAGGAATATCGTGAAGGCCATGAGGGAGCTCCGTGAGGTTCTACGGACCGTGGAGACCAAAGCCACGCAGAACTTCAAAGTGGTAATGTGGCTGCAGGCTGTCCTGTACCCAGCTTATTCAGGGGCCAGTGTCTGTGGGAGACAACGGAAGTCACAGTAGGCGGCCCCAAGCCATGGGTGGCAGTGGGTGCCCAGTGCCAGGCAGTGCCCACCCTCCCTGCTTCTGGCCGACATGGCTTCTCCCCCTAGGCATGCTTCTCTGCTCAGCCTGGATGCACCACTTGGAGAATAGCTTCCCTTGGGGCAGAGTGACATCTCCCACTGGGCCAGGGATGTGACTCAGTGTTGGGTGCCTCTCTTGCAAGCGTGAGGCCCCGGCTGGATCCTCAGGCCCCCTGGTGCCTTGATGCCACCCTTCCAAGGGCAAAACTGCCGCGGCGGGGTGGTGTTGCTCCATCTGGGATTTGTCTGTGATCCTTGCAAGCGCTGGTCCCCTACCTTCGTAGGCCTTCATTCATCCACAGTCACAGCCACAACCACTGTGCATACTGCATGTCTGATCAGCTCTCAGTCGGTACTGGAGCTGCCTGTGCCTGTGGGCCGGAGTCGTGCCCGCCCCTCTGTATGGGCCTGCAGGGCACTCAGGGATGGGGAGGGGGCACGCACCTGTTATCTAGGAGAGCAGAGGAGGAAGAGCCATGGGAAGGGCTGGGCGCCTCAGTCCTGGGCTCCTGCAGAGCAGCGCCGGGGAGCTCGGGCTTAGCTGCACTAGGGGCTGGCTGGGGGCAGTTTCAGGTGTGTGGCTGATTCCTCCCCTTGCAGATGGCCGCCACACACCTAGCAGGGGTCCTGTTGCACTCGCTGAGCGAGGAATGCTACTGGAGCCCCCTGTCCCACCCCCTGCCCGAGTTCATGAGCAAGGAGGACAGTGCCTTCGTCACGCAGGCCCTGCGCAAGCCTAACCTCTACGAAGGTGACAAGTGAGTTCCGCCCGCCCTGCTGCACACACCCTGCTGCACCTGTCTGTCACACGCTGTGTGTGGCTCCTGAACTCTGCCCACACTCGCTCTGCTCGCTGCCCTGCACTCTGGCTGGGCAGGCTCAGGGACCAGGGACCAGGGAAGGAAGGTCTCCTGAGCGCCTGGGGGAGACTCCCGCAAGGCGCCCAGAGGCCTGTTTGGCGCTTCCCTTTCTGTTGGTGCCTCCGGTCTTGGGGGTCCGTTGCCAGCTGGCAGAGACCGAGAGCCTATGCGGTGCTCTCTGCGCTTGCCCTGCAGCATCACGTGCTGCTCCGGGCAGGAAGGGCTCCTCTTTCCCCAGGGGATCTGTGGCCTTTCAGACTGTGGTTTAGGGCCTGCTAAGGAGCTGCCCGTGATGTCTGTGAATTATGCACGAGTGGGTCGCCTTACCAGGCCAGAGGCGCTGCTGCTGCGGCTGCGGGTGGACTGGAGCCCGGCTGTGTTTGCCTTTCAGTCTCTACTGCCCGAAGGATAACATCGAGGAGGCCCTCCTGCTGCTGCTCATCAGCGAGTCCATGGTAAGCCCGGGGCGCCTGTGCGTGCCTGCACCTGTGCCTGAGCCCCAGCCTCCTCGTCCTGGGCGAGCTCTGCCCAGGGGAGGCCCCAGAGCCGAAGTTCTTGTCTCTGCTTGCCTGGCTCATCAGGCCATGGCGTGGCTGCACAGGCTGCATTCAGGGGCCTATGAGAAATGTCCGTGTCCAGTACCCCGCGTTGGGTGCTGTGCCAGGCGTGAGAGCAGCAGGTGGGGAGTACGAGGAACATGCACGTTGAAAGCAGGAGGCTAAGGTTCAGGTTCCAGCTCTGACCCTGTTATCTAAGGGCTGGCGACGACTCATTCAATCCCTTTGAGCCTCAGTTTCCTCCCTGTGAGGTGACAGCAGGTGTGGTGATGCACACCTATAATGTAGCAGTGAGTGTGTTGTACTGGGAGGCTGAGGCGGGAAGATTCCTGTGAGTCCAAGGTCAGCCTGGGCTACAGAGTGAGTCCCTGTCTCAAAACAAAACAAAAAAATTTGAAAGTAACCCCCAGAGGTAAGTGTGGATGGAATTCGTACATTCCTGTAACAATTACGGATTGTGTGCCTTGTACCTGACCCTGGCTTAAATGTCAGAGGTGCGGCTGTCCTTGTCGAGCCTACATGCTAGTGAAGGAGGTGGCCCTAAATTAATAATGACCTCAGTGTCCAGGGCGTTGTTTGAGCACATGGGAAAGCATGTACATGCACACTGTTGAATGAGGCAGGAGAGAGGAGAAGGCGCGCTGGATGGAGCACACCGTGAAGTTCTCTGCGGACTTTGTCACAAGACCTGCTTGCTGCACCCTGAGCAGGGGAGCAAGGCAAAGGCACTGCAGTGCTTGGAAGCTCTGTCGAGGAGAATGTGATGTGGCTGGCTCATCCAGAAAGCAGAGCGAGAAAGGACGGACAGGTGCGGGAGGAGCCGCGGGGGCTGGAGGAGCCCAGCGTGGAGGTGCATGTCCGGGTCAGGTGCATATCTCCCCTTGAGGGGCCCATCAGTGCTGGTGAGCTGGGACCACCTGCGTGAGATGACTCTTCTGAGCCTGTGCATCTGAGGAGTGAGGTTGCGGGGTCATGGCCCTTGGGCTGGATGCCTGGACAACCGGAAATGAGTGCTGTTTTGAAAAGGTGTCTGGGAGTGTTCCTGGACATCTGGGATGGTGGCTTGGGCATCTGGGTGATGTCAGGGCTTATTTAGAGAACTGTGGTGGGAACACTGCTGCTGACTCCTCAGGGCTCCCGGCAGTAGAGAGGAGGATGCTTGGCCCGGGGTGCAGAGGCTGTGTCCTCAGCCAGCCTGGTCCCCTGCAGGTCTGGGGGTTTGCGGATTTAGGACTTGGGTAATTGGAGCTCAGGTGCCAGCTGGACGTATCATGGCATGGTGTCGCCTTCCTGTGCTGTGGGGTGCAGTGGACCATTTCTGAGGTCCCTTCTCTGCCAGGGGCCCAGCCGGCCACCTCACATAGGTAGATGTTATGTTGAACCCTATGGAAAGACCAGGTTTTAGTTGTTTATGGCCCACAGTCACCACAGGTGGTATAGTTTCTTTTAATGCCAATGTGGTCCCATCTTTCTTGTTATTTTTTGAAACAATGTCTTGCCATATAGCCCAGGCTACCCTTGAACTCCTGGCAATCCTGCCACGGTCTGCAGAGTGCTGGGACTCCAGGCATGCGCCCCACTCCGGGCTCCATCTGTTCCCATCCCACAGATGAGACTAGTAAGGTCCAGCACAAGTGCCCATCTTGGGCAAGGCCACACGCTAACAAGCCCTATGGTCCCGATGCCGGCCACACTCACTCCTTCCATGCCCTTGAAGCACACCAGCTGTGGAGGCTGAGCTCCAGGCTTGCCTCTGCACCTCACCACCTGCTTCAGTTCCCACTTTCCACGTCCGTGAAAGGGCCACAGTCGTAGTTAGGGAGTCTGAGCAGCTCCTGTTTTTCTCCTCAGTAGGGGCTGAGGCTGTGCTCAGTCTCCCTGAGCCGTTTTGGAGGCCTCTGTTGGATGAGGGACAAAGCCATCCTTCAGGTGCCTTTCCCATCGTGGTCCCCACGCCCGCCCACTCCAGTGCTCAAGCTGCCCCTAACCTCAGAACAGAGAGTAGCCTGTTGCTACAGTGGGAGTGTTCTTGTGTGTGGCCTCCCCTCCAAGCAGTGACTCCCGCTTTGTAGTAGGAGGTGTGGCAGGCGCGCCCAGGACCTGGTGCAATGGTGCGAGGGCCGGAACCCTGGAGAGTCCCTGCAGCAGCATCAGGGCAGGAGGCCTGCAGTTCACACGTGGTCGCGAGAGCAGGCACATGGGCTGGCTGCCATGTGGGGAGGACATGTGTAGTGGGCTTAGCTTTAGTGTCTCCTTGTAGAGGACTTTGGCCTCCAGGCCAAATCTGGCCTCTTGGCGCCCAGATTCCTCCAGTCTTCTTTCTTCTTTTTACATCCCAGACACCCTTCAGTCGCTTCTAATCAGCCTGAGGACTAGGGCTGGGCTCCGCGAGTCCAGTTCCCCTCCCTGCTCCTGCCCTCCCGGTCCACTGAACCCCCACACTCCACACACCCTCAAGCTGGCCACCATGTCCCATTTCCTCCTCCCACCTTGGTGCTGGCAGAGCCTGGCTGCAGATGACGGGCTCGAGAGGTCCATAGAGCAGCAGTCGGCAGCCCCAGCCCTGCCTGGATTCTCCTTCTCGTGCTGCAGTAAAGGTGACGCCTGCAGAGCCCGCCCGTAATCCCGTGGCCTTTGCCTCCAGGATGGCCAAGTGGTTCCACGAACCGTTGGTGGGCTTCCTAATTTTCAGCTTGGAGCTCAGGCTGGCTGGCAGGGTCTGGGTGTGGGGCTAAGGCCTTGGGTGTGGCTTTTGTTACACTGTATGGTCACTATGAATGAGGGAGGCCTTGTTTTTTAAGGGATAAACAGGAATCGTTAATACCTTCATGGGAATGCAAAGGCTGTGGAAACCGATGGAAGATTTATGTGTTGGACTTAGTTTTGAGTCTTTGTGGCTAAAAGATCATTTTAAAATAGGTAGTTGGGGGGTAGGGAGATAGCTCAGTGGTGTATGCACCTGTCTGACCAGGGCAAGGACCCAGGTTCAGTCCCTGGAACCAAATGCCATGCTGATCACCAAAACCAGGCTTGGTGGCACAGGCCTATGATCCCAGCGCTGGGGAAGCTGAGATGGGAGGATCACTGTGAGTCCGAGCTGCACAGGGAGACCCTGTATCAAATAAGTAAATATATATATATATATAATCTCCATAGTCCATCCACCCACTCCTCCGTGCATCCATCCATCCACCTACCCCCCCACCAGCTCGTCCATTCATCTGTCCATCCACCCTCCCACTGTTCACCCACACAATCTTATTCCAGCAGCTGACCCTGCAAGTTCATGCCCAGCCCCGTAGATAGCGGTGATGAACAGCCTTTGTCCCCAGTATGCTCCTAGTGCTGAGGGCCGTGGAAGAAATCCTGGGCTCTGAATCAGAAAGAAGTACCCCAACGTGCGTACCTCAAATGTAGTCTAGTTTCTGAAAAGACTGTATAGCAAGCCAGCCTGATTTTCTGACAGCCAGGCAGCCAGGAGCTAGAGGAATCTTCGTCACTTCCAAAATACTGATCCCAGGGCTTAAAATAAATGCTAAAGCAAATTGGATCCTTGGGCCCTTGCTGCAGCAGGGAAGGAATTGCTGCTGGTGTTGGGTGCTTGGGAAGCATGCAGAGGTGTGGCGTAGAGTGAAGGTGGGCTGAAGGGAGTGTTTCTGGGACTGGGGTCTGCAGACTAGCAGACTCTGCACCATGTCCTATGATGGGCATCTGGATACTTGAATCTTAAATTTGTCATTCACAACTTGTATGGCCTGGTCAACCTCCTTATGTCCCTGGGCCTTGATTTTCTCATCTGTAAAATGGTTAAGAAGGCTCAATCATTTTCAAAACATTTAGGTTCTAGCTGGTTGGGAGATTGAGGATGCCATTCAGTTTTTTGGTTGACTTGATTTCATTTATTTTTATGATACTAGGAGTTGAATCCAGAGCCTTTGCCCTACCTACATCTCCAGCCATTTTTTTTCTTTCCTTTAAAAAAAAAAAAGACAGAATCTCTCTATAAGTTGTTAAACTACCCAGGTTGGGCCCAGGTTGTGATCTTCCTGTCTCAGCCTCCACAGTGCTGGGATTATAGGCAGGCACCACCATAGCCTACGTGTTATTTTGCTTTATTTAAAGGATTTCCTGGGCTTGCTTTCATCTGGGACTCAGCAGATAGAGGCATTATTCCGGCTTGCAGTTTCTGGTCTATCCTGACAACCCCGCTCTGCCAAAGGTGGAGCTGGTGACACAGGGCTAACGGTACCGCAGCTCAGACCCTTGGTGCTGTAGAAGGGGGGGAGCCTGTCACCAGCTGGCAGGGACTGTGCCAGCACAGTGCCAGCGTGGAGCTGCTTGGCTCTGCGCACTTGGCTCTAGCACAGGAGGCGAGTGTGTCTGCCAGCAAGGCCCATAGCAGGAACAGAGCCCGCAGCGGCACCCTTGGGGAGGGGCGGCTCTGCGCACAGCTGCTGTGGGGCCTCCTTTCCGGGGTGATCGCTGGGTGTCAGGCAGCAGCCTGGCAGGTGGAGAGGCAGCCCCTGAGACGGCTGAACAGGGCCGGAGTCTGCCCTTTGCGGAGAAGCAGCACCCAAGGCCTGGCTGGCAGGCCTGGCCTGGGTCTCGCTTTGGTGTTTGTTAAGCAGAGCTGCCTAGAGCCTCTGAGGCATGGGTGAGGCTGTGGAGCACTTTCCTGGAGGCACGCGAGCTGCGCTGATGTGGGAGCACATCAGTTCTAACCTCGCCTCGACCCCATCTGCGCATTGATCCGCCTTACCCCGCCTACACACACAGACCTTGCTTAGACTCCCCACGTTCCAGCTGGGTAGCAGCAGACCAGACTGAGAATGGCACGATGCCTGCTAGGAAATGCCCCCTTTCCTTCTTTTCAGGCTGACCTGTTTGGTGCAGGGCTGGGGATAAGAGGAGCAAAGCACTGGGCACCATTAGTAGTCAGTGCCGGCCGAGCCCTGCAGCCAGGAAGGGTGGGAACCAGGCCTGCAGCCGGCCAGGGCAGAAGGGGTGAGCCAAGGAGCCGGGAGGCAGCTGGGGCACAGGCAAGCAGCAGGCTGCATGCTGGTGCTGGCGTCAGGCTCGCCTGGCTCTTTGGGGCCCTGTGGGAGGCCGTCCGGCTTCAGGGCTCAGTGTCCTCACCCATGAGGAGAGGTTTGGTGTTCATGTGTGTCCCTCTGTGAGGTTGGGCTCTGTGCACGTTGGGCTCCAGGCAGCTGCCAGCATATGCCTGCCCCGCTCTCTGTGCCTTCCCCGGGGTGGTGGGCGTAGCCCTGCTTGCCTCACGGATACTTGTCTATAGAGCAGAGTGGGTTCTGCAGTTATGGCCTCATCAGTCTAGGCACTTGGGATCACTTACTCACCCTGGACCAAATCAGAGGAGGCCATTCGTTGGTGAAAGGAAAGACGCTTTGTTCCCAGCAGGCTCTGAGGAGAGGGCGGGGCCTCATTTGCCCCTGGTCCCCACCTTACCTGTCTAGGGGTGGTAGTGTCTCTCAGAGCAAGTAGCATGGGGAAGAGGGTGCGTGAGACAGCAGGCATCCCAGACTGGCATGCTCCGAGCACTGACCCCTGGGCCCGGCACCTGCTTATCACAGCTGAGGGGAGGGAGCTGTGACCATGCCCAAGGGTGGCACTTGTCTCTAAAGGACAACATAATCCTGCTTCTGCAGTTCTCGCTGTGCAATGCTGGTCACACTGCTGGCAGCGCTGCACTGCGGGGTGATGGGGGGGTTGGAAATTGTTTCTTGGCTTCTCCTCTGAACCACAGAAGCTTAGGGTGAAAGCTTTCAGGAGACGCTGCAGAAGTCCCTGCAGAAGGTCAGAGGAACAGTGGCCTGGCTCCTGCCTGGGGGTAAAAGTGGAGGTGATAGCAGCGAACACTAGGCAGAGGCAGGGAGAAACCTGGGGAGGGTGTTCTGCCAGCAGCCTGGTGCCAGGAGCGAGGTGGAGAGGCTGCTCAGGAGCAGCAGCATCTTACTTTAAGGCGCCAGGTGGAGTTGTCACTGCACTTGAGCTGAGGCTTTCTTAGGGAAAGCAGGAACCTGAGGCTCTGGAAATGGAGAAGGAAAAGGAAGTGGCTGAGACCGGCTCTGGAGGCTGCTGCTGGAAGCCTGGGGAGCCATGTGTCGGGTGTCTCAAAGGAAGGCAGGGAGGGGCCAGCTGGGGCTTGTAGAGGAGGGACTGGGAGCCCCTCCACGTGTGAGCCCCCTGCTCTGACTAAGTGATGCCCAGAGAGAAAGACTCTGGGCTAAGGTGAAATCTGCTCTCCCCACCCCATCCACCCCAGAGATGGGCTGTAAGAGGCCAGGCCACTGAAGGTACCTGAGCATGAGGGAGGGGTGGACTTTCAGAGCTAGGCATTAATTAGGTCAGAAGAGTGGGAATGGAAGAGACGACCACAGATGTAAATCTTCCTCCTGATGACCAGCTCCCCAGGGGCAGATAGCAGAGAAAGCACATTCTTGGGGGTCCTCAGTCCTTACGCAAAGCCGCACCTGTGCCAAGTGGGCAGGGTGGTCCCCAGAGGACAGCCAGGAGCAGTGTGGGGTGATGGGGTGGGCAGGGCAGATTTCACCCCAGCCCAGAGTCTTTCTCTCTGGGCATCACTTAGTCTGTAGCGATGGACTAGTGAAGTTCTTAGCAGGAGGCTGTGCGAGGGTTTGAAGCATGCAGCTGGCAGGGCCATGTCTCAAGGGTGGTTCATGCCACAGGGATGTACGGGGCCTGGGTGTGTGCTGGTGAAAGGCACCCAGGTAGACAGACGGAACCCAGCATGACCAAATTCAAGTCTTGGTGGCCAGAGAGAGCAGTGGCCTCGGAAAGGAGCTGGAACTTTATCCCCAGGGCAGTGGTGACAAGATAATACTTGCTGTCCCTGTCCCTAACACGGCTGATAGCACAGGAGGAGGCCCAGCCAGGCTTCCCAGCCCTGCCTTTGCAGACCCCTTGGCTCTGCCCTTCCATCCTAGCCTCATCCTGTGAAGTTGTAGGTCAGGCTCCCCTCCGGCAGGCATCCCGCCCCCTCCTGGGTTTCCCTGAGTTTCCCACGCATCCCCTCCCTCCTGCTTGGTGGTCCCTCCCAGTGTTGCTGGAGTGGGAGGAGTGGGGAGGGTCCCACCTGGGGGTGCCAAGCTCTCCTCAGGATTTCTTCTCTTCCTCTCAGGTGTGCTTGTGGGTCCCCTCCCTACCCTGTCCTCCTTCCCCCTGGAGCCCCGGCCAGCTCCTGTGGGCCAGGCTGGTTCCAGTGCTCTGCCTTTGTGATTTCCTGGCATCCCTAGGACCTTCTCCTAGGTGCGGCCTTCTCATGCCCATCCATGTCCATGGCAGGTAGCTGGTCCCCTGCCTCAAGTACCCTCTGGATAAGTCACCTCCTGGAAGCAGGAAGGCTGCTTGGCTTCTGGATGCCCCTAGGGGGCGCATGTCAGCTCTGCGTGTTCCACCCATGGCCTGCAGGCTGTGGCTTTGGGTCTCCCCAGCCGGACTAGAGAAGGGAGGGTAGGGTGAGGCTGTGAGCGGGCCTGCTGGAGGGGCCCACGGCTCTGGCGAATGAAAGTTGGGTCTCAGGCCCAGCGGCTCTTTCGCTTCTATCCTTAGTAGGGAGGTCTGTGTGGTGAAGCAGAGGTAGTCACAGAGCGAGCACTGTGCTGGAGAGGAGAGAGGGGTGAGGAGAGAAGAAAGGGTGCCGGGTGCCTCTGCTGGAGCCCACCTCTGCCAGAGCCCACACAGCCCTCAGAGTCTGCGGCTCACTTGAGACCCTTGAGCAACCAGAGGCTGGGTTTTGCCACAATTGTGGCACTGTCCCCATAGGCCCTCTCTGCCCTGTCACTTCTCTCTGTGCTGTGCATCCCCACGTGGCCCCATCACCTGCTCCTCTGCTCTCAGTCTCTCCTCCCATCGGGGCATGGCACGGGCAGGAGATAGCGAACATGCCACAGACCACAGCAGAGGAGGTCCCCCTTCCTGCGGGGTGCTCTGGCCTGGCGACAGGTGCGCCCTCTGAATTGCTCGACCTGCCAACTCATCACACTCCTGCCCTCTCCTCCCCTCCTAAGAGCTATCCAGCAAGTCTGGGAGCTCTGCAGTGCACAGCACTGTGGAGTCCAAGGGTAGGATTAGGGCCCAACACCAGTGATGGAGGGCAGCAAGTGGGACCAGAGAGTGAGGGCTGGGCCCCTTTCCTCTGCGTGAGCAGTGAAGCCCCCAGCCTGGTGGTGGCTGCCTGTACTTGAAGCTCTTGCTGTGATTGTGGAGAATTGCAAACACAGAAGGAACATTCCAGAAGACAGCTGGTCTGTACTTCCACCAGCGGCAGTGACGTGAAAGAGAGGCTGAGGGCCTCTTCCACATGAGAGGAGGCCAAGGAGGACACAGCCCCAGTGCGAGACATGATCCTGACTGCATGGGGAAGACTAAGCTACTGCAGAGGACGCAGGAGTTATTTTGGACGAGATGGAGCAGAGCGAAGACGCTACGTATCATCAGCTGACCCATCTCGATGAAAGGTGTATGCTTGTAGCGCTATGCTAGGGTGTTGCTGGAGCTTTGAAATCCGACCAGATCACAAATTGAGTTCCAGGATGTTGAGCCCGCGAGGTATGCCCTCGCCCACCTGGGCCGAGGCTGCTGGGCTTCTTTCCTTGGAGAAGCTGCTTCTGGGAGTACAGACACCTACCTGGCCTGGTGGCCGGCCACCTGTGTGGCCTGGGTAGGTGGGAACCCTGAGACACGGCATCTGCTTAGCTTTGGTTGGTCCTCTTCATTTTAGTGTTTTTGAAATAGAGTCTTGCTGTGTAGCTCACGCCGGCCTCAGACTTGCAGTGGTGGTCCCGTCTCAGCCTCTCGAGTGCTGGGATTACAGGCCGGCGCCTCCACGCCCACTGTCCTCACTCTTTATCAAACCTTGTGCTGCCCACAGGCGACTCGGGACGTGGTGCTGAGCCGCGCGCCGGAGCAGGAGGAAGACCGGAGGCTGAGCTTGCGGAACGCTGCGGCCATCTACGACCTCCTGAGCATCACGCTGGGCAGGCGGGGCCAGTACGTCATGCTCTCCGAGGTACGCCAGGGTCGGGCCAGGCACAGAGAGAATCACAGGGGGCTGCCGTTTGCCCCTTCCTCCCTCGCTGAGCTGTTCGGCCTCTTCCTGCCATTTGCCCCTTCCTCCCTCGCTGTGCTGTTCGGCCTCTTCCTG